TCCTCTCTTCTCCTCTCTTCTCCTCTCTTCTCCTCTCTTCTCCTCTCCTCTCCTCTCCTCCCTTCTCCCTTTTTCTCCCCTCCCCTCCTTTCCCTCCCCTCCCCCTCCCTCCCCTCCCCTCCCCTCCCCTCCCCTCTCTTCCCTCCCCTCCCCTCCCCCTTCTTCCCCTCCCCTCCCCTCCCCTCGCCTTCTCTCCTCTCCACTCCCCTCCCCTCCCCTCTTTTTTTCTTTTCTCCTCTCCTTTCCTTCCTCTTTTCCTCTTTACCTCTCTTCCCTTCTCCCTTTCCTCATCCTTTTCTTTTCTCTTCTCTCTTTTCTGAGTCTCAAGTATTCCAGGATGCCTCAGATTTGTTCTGTTGCAGAGGCCAGCCTTGACCTCTTGATCCTCCTGTCTGTTTACAAGTGCTAGAATTACATATGTGTACTACCATGCCCACCTGTGTTATTAACTTACAGTCCATAAGAAACTTCATATTCATAGATATAAAAGCCAACTTTATTATAGATCCAAAATTATTAAAATTGATTGTTTTGCTGCCTTACTTTTTGTGAAAAGACTATATATTGCCTCTGAGGTTGTCTGAAGCTCCCTTCAGCATGGGTTTTATTTTAGAAGGCTTTTGTTTGTCAAGTGAGCAGGTTTCTGTTATGAGGGTTTTCAAGAGTTCTGGAAATGAAGAAAAGAGCGGGTTCAGGGTCTCTGGAAAGAAGAAAAAACTGGTAGACAGAGATTAGGAAGGTGAAAGGTCAGCGTGGGAAATGGAGATCGACCAGAGCTAAAGGAGCCTGGGGATGGGGTGGGGCTAAGCTGTGCTATGTTCAGACATTGCATTTGCTGCTGGAGATTTCTATCTTGAAAATGGACTTTTTCCTCTTGTATCTCATGATGTACTTTCAAGAATGAGCTACATTCAGGGGTTAACTACATGCAGGTGCTCCATGTCACCAATGCCTAACATAACAGTCCTCTGGGAGTTGCTGACATGATTGGCTCTTTGAGACTAGGCCAAGTGAGAGCTGGCAAGCAAGGATAGCAAGACTCCTGTGTAGAGTTTCCTGAGGCTATTGCTTCTTTATGGAAATGGCTAGATTCTTCCTTTCTCTGCAAATACTGCAGCAATCACAGAAAGAAGAAATTGCTTGGATATGACCCAGAAAAATGAACTTTTACTTTGCTTGACATAACACACTGAATTGGAGGTTCTTAGGATGTATTTTTAGTTCTTAACGGTTTTATAAGCCTCTGTCGTGGTCACTTCATGTTCATAAATACAAGCCCAGATTAAAGACTAATTAATAACCAGCATAGGTAGTCACAGGCCCATAGAATGCGTTTTTGCCAACAAGCAGTTTAAATATGGCTAAGGACAAGGTTAGGTATGATGAATATTTAATTTCAAAAATGACTGTTTTGTGGCGTTTTTGCCAATCTCTTACAAAAACAATCAAAAGAAAAAGATGTCTTGTTTAGGACAAAGAAACTATTAGTTCTACTCTCCTAAGATCATGACATGAGACTGGGGTTGTGGTTTAGTGGTAGGGCAGTTGGTTTCATGGGTAAGGCCGTACATTTCATCCCCAGAAGCACAGAAAAAAAGTGTGAGTTATTATGATAATAGTAACAAAGACAGTGAGGCCCTAGCCAGGGCAGGGTCCACCAGGTCTTGAGAGTATCCCGTGCGCTTAACCACTCTCCAGCCCCGTGCTACCCACTCAGTTTTTTAAAACAGATTTTATTGTTGAAACCGTCTCCTCAGTCATTCCTTTCTATTCATTCTCTGGAATTTTTTGTTCTCATTCCCTTGTTTTATTCTGTTCTTAAGGCCTTTTAAAAATCCTTGGCATTTGTGTCTTTGGTGTTGTTACCTTAAAGAGAAATCTGCTTGATCTTTAAAATAGGCGCTGTGGTTGGGGAGCTCAGTTTAGTCACGGAGCTCTTGCTTACCACGCGTGACCCCCACGTTAGCCCCCAGCCCTGGAAGAAAAGGCAGGGGCATGATCCTAGGAGTGGGTACAAGGTTACATCCTCGGCAGATAGTTTACAAGCCACCAGGATTAAAAACATCTGAGGGAATTCCTTTGCCTAGGAGAGAAGCAAGACTTCAGTACCATCTTTTTTTTTTTTTTTAATTACATGTACATATACTGTAGCTGTCTTCAAACACCCTGTAAGAGGGCATCAGATCTCATTGTGGATGGTTGTGAGCCACCATGTGGTTGCTGGGATTTGAACTCATGACCTCTGGAAGAGCAGTCAGTGCTCTTAACCACTGAGCCATCTCACCAGCCCAACCATCTTGGTTTTGATTCACATGTGTATATGTGTTTTTACTGTCTAAAGGTATATGCCTGTGCGTGAGTGTGTGAGTGTGTCTGTGTGTGTGTGTGAGATTCCTCAGGCACCATCCACCTTTTTTTTTTTTTTTTTTTGGAGACAGGTTTCTTAGCAGCTTAGAGCTCACTAAGTAGGTAAGGCTGGCTAGCTAATGATCATCAGGGGTCCTGTGTTGTCTTCACAGAGCTGGGGTACAAGTGTGTGTTGTTGATGTTTACATAAAGTTGAATTGAAATTCACGTGCTTGTGAAGGTAGCACTTCTTTGCGTGAACTGTCTCCCCAGCCCTCCCGTCATGGCTTTGTGGAATGAGAACTACAGCTGCTCCTTTTCATGATGTGTGCCTCTGTTCTCTCTGATCATGAGGTTTGGATTATGTACAAAGAAGAGTTGTTTTTTTTTTTTTTTTTATTTACAGATGAACACAGGCTTCACAGTGGCAAGCTCTGTCTGATTATCCTCACCTGTATCGCAGAGGTAGGTCTTACCGTGAGTCTTGGGTGTGAGTTGATGTCTTCCAGAGAGCTCTTTTCTGTCCACCTACTTCTGTTTTATGACTTGAAGGTTTTTTGTGTTGTCCGTCTTCTCCAGAACGTGAACTTAGGTAACAGGGCCTTTGCCTTCAGTACCACACTGGTCTCCTTATCTGGCTCACTCTATAGACTCAGTCAGCATTCATTAGCTGAGTTAGCAGTGAACCTCAAGGTGCTGGAAATGTAGCTTTGGTCATTCACAGAGCCCTGGCTTTGAATTCCAGTACCATCTAAAAAGCTGGGCTTGTTATAGGCCTATAGTCTCAGCACTCTGGAGGTAGAGGCAGGAAGATTAGAATTTCAAGGCTTTCCTTGCTTTAATAGTGAGTTTGTGGCAAGCCACAATTTAATTTAATTTAATTTAATTTAATTTAGTGGATTAAAAAAGAGCTAAGGTATCGTGGGGATTGAGGAGTAGAAGAGAAACAGGAGAGTGGTTGTATTTTGGTGGTAAGTAAGACCTGAAGGAGGAAGAAGTGCAGATGAGTTATGTTTCTGTAACCAAATTCCAAATAGGTAGCAGTGTACATGTGGGAGCTGTGGCTCCCCTGGTAAAGGCACTAGCTTCCAAGTCTGATGACATGAGTTTGGTCCCGGGATCCACATGGTGAAGGAGAGAACTGACTGACTCTTGCAAGCTGTTCTGTGACCTCCACATGTATGCTTATGGTGCATGTGCACACATTCATACACATAATAGTGTAATTGTCTAAAAAGGGACTTCAAAGAGGATTTCTTTTACTCAGTTTGAGGTGACATGGCCTGTTGCGAGGGGAAGACATGGCAGTGGGGCATGACTGTGGCAGGCTGAGGCATCTTCCTCACAGTGTATCTGCAATCAGGGAGCAGAAAGAGATGAATGATGGTGTTTACCAATTAGATGTACTGAGAATTTTGGTTTCTTTAAAACCACAAATATTATAAAGATACGTTTTTATTTTAATCCCAGGTGTGGGATTTGGGACTGCTTCAGTTTGTCCACAGCAGGATTTGCCTCATGCACCAGGGGCATGATATTGACAGCTGCAGATAGTTTCTGCAAGCGTGTGATGTTTGAAGTCTGGGGACTCTTCAGAGGGTATATAAATGCTAGGCCCCCTTGAGGCAAGTGGGTTTTTGGTCGGTGGTAGGTTGCTGTTGGTTGTGGTTTGTTAAGTAGTTGTTTGGAAAGAAGAAACAACAACAAGAAATTAGATATCCTGACTTCAAAGACCAAATTTGCCCCAAGGACACCCCTTATCAGGAAGTCTAAGAATAATGACACCTCCTTTCCCCTCTATCTTTTTTCTCTCTTGTCTAGTGTTAAGGGGTTGAAAGTGTAGAAGAAAAAAGAACCCACAAAGTAGTCATTTAGGCTTTCTTCCTTTTCTCTTTTTCTTCATTTTGAGTCCTTAGCCCATAGAGTAGTACCAGACACATTTAGGATGGGTCTTTAATTTCTTAATTTAACTTCTTGGAATATATTCTCATAGGCATACGTGGAGGATGTCTTAGCAGTGACTTGAAAACTACTCAGATTGTCCGTGAAGATTAACTATGGAAGCTGCTGCTTCCCGTGAGAAGGCTGGACTAACTAGACTCAAGCGAGATGGAACTCGAGCTAGGTCAGAGCTAGAGTTAGAGCTTCAGCCTCTGCTTTCAGAACCCCTGTCCTTGTCTTTGTGTTTAAGGCAATAGTAAAGGTCGTCCACAGGGCGGAGTGGCCTCTCACAGACTTCCTCTGTGTTCTCTCTGGGAAGATGAGCTCTGCTCACAGGGCTGGGGAGGCCGAGTCTGGAAGAGCAGCTTAGTAACAGTGGGCCTTGTATAATTGCTTCTCAAAGTCTTTCAAAGAAAATCTTTTTGTTTTGTTTTGTTTTTTTGTTTTTCTTTTTCAAGACAGGGTTTCTCTGTATAGCCCTGGCTGTCCTGGAACTCACTCTGTAGACCAGGCTGGCCTCGAACTCAGAAATCCGCCTGCCTCTGCCTCCCAAGTGCTGGGATTAAAGGCGTGCGCCACCACCGCCCGGCTTCAAAGAAAATCTTTAAAGGTGTTGTTTTCACAAATTGTAATAGTTGTAGTAACTGGAGTCAGTAGGCATGTCAGGTCTCAGGACGGTGCTGGGAAGGGCCAAGGGATGCCTGTTTCCAATCCGTGGTGGGAAGAGTGTGGCTCTTCCACCAGTCTTTAAAAGCCGGAGAGAGATGGGGTCTTGCCTGCCTCTGTGCTGCCAGTATAGCACTTGTTTCCTGTTGTGCTGAGCTCATTCCCAGCAGAGCGCAGGCCTGCCTTATTCCAAAGCCTCGTGTGGCTCTTGCACATGTACTGTCTTGCCCCATGAGAGCCTCCAAGCTGTCACAAACACAGCTGACTCCTTGGGCAGATGGAAAGGAAGAGAGAACAGGAAGACAGATTCCTCTCAGCATTTGTCTCAAATCCCTGGCTTTTAATCTTCATTGTATTTAATTTTCTTGGAGATCTTCAACCAGTTAAAGGCATACTATACTCGATTTCATGGCGTAGGCAAGGGGTTGAGAGAAAGGCTCTAGATTTATCACTTTAGCTCTCCAACTGACCTGAAAGTAGTTCATGAAGGTCTGTGGATTTGGACTGAGGTTATGTTTCAGTTGGGCAAGCACTTGATTCGCTCTCCGCCTCAGCATGAACTGGTCTGCCTAAGCTCCCAGCACCCAGAGAGAGAGAGGTGGAAGGCAGGAGGGTCAGAATTTCAAAGCTGTTCTTAGCTTCATAGGGAGTTGGAGGCCAGCCTAGTCTGGAGAGCTTGTTTTGGGGTTTGTGGAAGGCGAGAGGAAGGATTTGTAGGATGTGTTATTACAGATGTATGCACTCATGTATGCTTGCTTACCTGCCTTCCTCTCAGCTTCTTCCTACCTTTCAGCTGGGTGATGCTGGACATCTTAATCCTAGCACTCAGGAGGCAGAGGCAGGTGGATCTCTGTGAATTCGAGGTCAGCCTGGTCTATGCAGTGAGTTCCGGGACAGCCAGGGCTATACAGTGAGACCCTGTCTCAAAAAACCAAAACCAAAACCAAACCAAACCAAACCAAACCAAAAAACCAAAACCCACCCTTATTAAATTTTCCTATCTTCCCTTCCTCCTCCCTCCCCACCTCCATCCCATCTTTCTTCCTGTCTTTTAAAATATATTTATTTATTTATTTATGTGTATGTTTGTGTGTATGAATGCATGCATGTGCACTTCTTTGTCTTAGCTTACATGTGGAGGTCAGAGGACACTTTTGGATTGCAGTGATGTGGGTTGCAGGATCAAACTCAATCTGTTCATAAAACGTGCCAATTGTCTACCCAGTAAGTGAGCATCTCACCAGCCCCTGTCATCCTGTCTTTCTTGGTCTATTTTTTTTTTTCTGGCTTTCCTCAGAGTCTCATATAGCCCACATTAGGATTAAATTGGCTGTATAGTTCAGGATGACCTCAAATTCCTGATCCTCCTGTCTCTATCTCCCAAATGCTGACAATTGGGCATGTGCCACCGTGTCCGATTGAGTTTCTTAAATGCAGTTACCGCATCTTGCCTTTTCTATTTTTATTAGGATCAATATGCCAATGCATTTTTACATGATGACAACATGAATTTTCGAGTAAACTTACATAGAATGGTAGGTGTGATTTTATATTTACTTCTTGTTTTTAATAGACAAATTTTTGTGTGTTGGGTGAGTTCGGATGGTCCTTTAAGAACAAATGTAGCTGGATAATTGTGCCTAAAGGGCTCAGGGCATGATTGCTTGTCAACAGCTCTGTCCGCCTTTTAGGGCGTTTTTGTTCGTCATCAAGCTGTTTCCTTGCTCACCTGAGGATAGAAAGATGTACAACCAAATAGTGAGCATAGTAATACTAGACAGTAGGAAGAGCACAGGTTTCAAAAAGGTTTCACGTGACTGTGGTACAGTGTGAGCACAGAGGTCAGAGGACAGCCTGCAGGGGTGACCTTAGTCCTCTCCCTGTATCACATGGCTCCCAGAGCTTGAATTTAGGTTGTCAGGCTTGGTAGCAAGTGCCTTAAACTGCTGAGCCATCTGTTTAAGCCCTGTCCCCCTAGACACTGAGTTCTCTGTAGCCTACTCAGGCTTCAACCATGTAGCCAAAGCTGGCCTTGAACTCCTGAGTCTTTTGCTTCCGGCTTCTTCATGCTAGAAGTACAGGTGTCCACCACCATTATGTCCGGCTATATAGTACAGTTTTTATTATATAAGACTATGTCTGCTTATTTTCTCACTGAGAGGTCGACTGTAGAGAAAATGGAATATGGAAGATGAGGATGAGGCTAGAGTGTGTTAAACAGTTTTACAACATGGCTTAGACTGGAAGCTTAGCTTCCCTCCCCGCCACTGCTGCAGTTGCTGACTGTGCAGCTCCCACCCCCCCTTCTCTCTTTATTTATCTTTAGTTTTAAATCTTTTTTTATCTTACGTGTATGAGAGTTTTGCTTCCGTGTAAGTCTGTACCACCTAAGTGTCTGGTGCCTGAGGAAGCCAGAAAAAGCATGTCAGATCCCTGGGAACTGGAGGTATAGACAGTTGTGAGCTGTCGTGTGGGTGCTCGTAATTAAACCCAGGTCCTCTGGAGGAGCAGCCAGTGCTTTTAATTTATGAGCCATCTTTCCAGGCCCTGTCCTCTTTTATGTGTCTGAGCAGCTGCATATGGTAGTCAGAAGATAGCTTTAGGTGTTGTTATGAACACACTCTCCACTTCTTTTTGAGACAGTGTCTGTGATTGGTCTGGAGCTGGCCAGAGAATCCTAGGAATCTGCCCGACTCTACCAACTCAGCATTGGGATTACACAGGAACGGCTTATACAGCTTCTGGGGGTTGAACCTGTGCTTGCTTTCACCAACTGAAGCGTCGCTCCAGCCCCTCGTCTTCTTTTTCTTAATTACTTTTATTATTATAGAAAAGTACCAGTGCATCCTTTATGTTGTTAACAATGACACGTGCACAGCATAGATAAATGAAAGTAACGACATTTGTCCTACTGTAGTGTGTCCTTTGGGACTTGCTGTAAATTGTGGTTTTGTCATACACCTTCATTGATAACTCAGAAGCACGTCCCTGTGCCCGTCCTGCTTGCACCCTCCTGCCCCCCCCCCCACTAGAAAGAGAAAGACAAGGTGGATGCCTTCCAGCAAATCTCTCTAGCAGAGCTTTTATTTGCGTGAGAAACATGATAAGCCATTGGATTCCAGTTCAAGTGTCTGCTAATTCCCTCTCTTTTCTGTGTGTGTGTTTTTAAAGCCTATGAGACACAGAAAGAAGGCTGCTGACAAGAATCTTCCCTGCCGTCCCCTGGTGTGTGCAGTCCTGGGTGAGTGAGCACAGTCAGAATGGCGTGTTTGTGAAGCTTTGGTGATCTTCATGATGACGATTTTGTTTGCTGTGCTTGTCCCTCAGCATTGTTTTTTTTTTTTTTTTTTTTTTTTTAAAAGATTTATTTATTTATTTTATTTATGAGTACACTGTAGCTGTCTTCAGACACACCAGAAGAGGGCATCGAATCTCATTACGGATGGTTGTGAGCCACCATGTGGTTGCTGGGATTTGAACTCAGGACCTCTGGAAGAGCAGTCAGTGCTCTTAACCGCTGAGCCATCTCTCCAGCCCGTCCCTCAGCATTGTTACAGAAGAAGTTTTGTTTCTTGTTGTGTTCTGCAAATCACCCCAGTGACTAGAGTGCTCAGTAAAGGGTGCTGTTGCTCAAAAACCAACCAGCCAAGCAAGCAAGCAAGCAAACAAACAAACAAACAAAAAACCAACTTCCCTGGGACAGGACAGAAATGAATATGTCTTACTTGTTACCAAGATTTCAAATTTTTACTTCCCTTTCATGGTCTGTACTGGTGTGTCAAAGGTCAGAAGTT